CATTGAGTCATCTAAGCCTATGAGACTGGATACTCCTGCTCATCTGCTCCAGCCCAAGAACTGAGTCTATGTTAGACAATGAAACTGAAACTCCTGCAAACCAAACGGAAAGAACACCAAACGGAAAGAACTGTTTTCAAATCCAGCAGACCATTTCCATCGTGGTCAAGAGTTATCATCAAGGACCCTGAATTTCACCCAGGAAGAAAAGACCCTCTGTTCCTGAGACAAGTAGAACAACAAAGACTGTTATTTATAAGGACTGTTAAAATAGTTTTTAAGTTTTCCTTGCTTGTTTGTATTTATTAGTACTGCCAGTAACTATGAATTGAGTTTAGAACCTAAATTTACATTTGGCTTTAGCAAAATATACCAAACATCCTTCATAAAGGTGAGTGCTAAATTTGCACTATGAATTTGACAACAATTTTGAATTATATATTAGATAATTCTTAGAAATGTTTCATTAAGTTTGCCTTCACAAACTTACTTCATAGTTACCAAGTTGAACCTGGTTAGAGCAGCCATTCATGTTAGCATTAAGTTTGCATAATAGTTTGTTATATGATTAGTATTATGTGTAAGTAGTAGAGATTGAACAAGATCTCTAAATCTTGTTTAATCTCTAAAGGGGGGACTGATGCCTTAAGCCCCTAATGTTTTTTTTATTTTTCTAATTTTTCTACCTTATAAGTTTTATAGGTAATAGAAGTAGATCTTAGAAGCAACCCTTTCTCCCTCTTCCCCGTAGCACCCCATAGTTTATACATTCCTTAACCCTCTTACCCCATTTCATACTCCCCATATCAACCCAACCCCTGTATCCAGTAGAAGATGTTTAGTCTCTGGTAAAGGCAAGCCTGTCTTGTTTGGGGAACGCTTGTATCTTGGCCTAAACCGCAGGGCAGAGTCAAAGAACTGGGTGACTCTGCTCTCTGTACCCCGAAGATGATGAAGGTGATGAAGAGAGGGTCCCAAAATGCACCCCAGACCCAATTTCTAAGGGATGGGCCAGGGGGTGAACCAGACCAAAAGTTACGGGATGGACACATTTGAGATTGGCCAGATATTGTTATAAATGTAACATCTCGGACACAGCCTGCGCGTGTGTCGTATACCATCAATTGCCTTGGCACGATTAAACCCTTTCCTTATCTCACCCTAATTAACGGCTCCTGGATTTTTTCTTAGCACCAACTGAGCAGGTATCAATACCCACGCAGGCATGCACAAGTCTCTAGTTCCTCTTGTTTCTCCCCCATACTATGTGGATTTGTGTATAGGCATCTGAGCTAGGCCCCAGATAAAGCTGACTTGTTGGCTGGAGTATCTGGAATGCCTTTGCACTGTTCCAGGAATCCATTAGAGGTGTTGGCATCTGACTGGCAGGATTGGGATGGATAGGTGCCCTCTCATGACAAATCTAGTTTAAAACCCCCTTCACCAGTCTGGCAAGTCCCCAAACAAAGATATTTTTTCCCTTCTTTGTCAGATGGACTCCATCAGCCCCCAGTAAACCAGGCTTGGCAAAGCAAGTCCCATGGTCTGAGTAACCAAAACCCTGACTACAGCACCATTGCTTGACCTGCCAGATTTGTCTGGCTATTTTGAGTCCCTCTCCTTTGACCTGGAGGATTGATGAAAAAACTACTTAAGCTCCAGAGCCCTTTACCACCTCTCCCAGGGCTCTGTAGTCCCTCAGTGCTTTCCAGACTGCTGCCAGCTACTTTGCAGGCTCCCACATGGAACACTAATAGTGGGTAATAATCAGTGGGTTTAACTAGGCTTGGCAGCTTCTCAGTAATGTCCCTGATCTGAGCTCCAGGAAGATGACATACCTCCCTTGAAAGTGGGTCAGGCTGACAGATGAGTGTCTTTGTGCCTCTTAGAGTCACCCACTACTGTCACCTACTGCCTTTTCTTGGTTGAACTAGTTGTTAATTTCTTTATTCAGGGGGCAGCTTCAGCTGCTCCAGTTAGCTCTGGCTGTTCTTCCAGTGTGTCAAGTGTTGCCTAGAGCTATGAGGCTGTCCTGGGTGGGGATGTCTGGTTGGGTGGGAATGTTTGGTTTTGAAAGAAGTTCCTTCCCTTTACTAGTTTCTTTCCTCTTCCATTGTTTTTTTCCCCACTACTTCCCAAGCCCCTGTGTTAATGCCTTCCCTCCCTTTCATGTGGGCCAGGGTGTGAATTTTTGGCCTTTCCTCAGTGTGCTGTGGTTCCCCCACCATAGCAGCTTGGAACCAGCCGTCCAACTCCCTCTCAACCTCCCTGATATCTCTCAGTCTTTTGTCTGCCTCCTGCAGTTCGACCACCTGTTTTTGGAGGTCCTTCACCAGGGTGCACTTGTTATACATCAGTGAACTACCCCTTTCAGACTCCCTGATACTCCTTGACCTCTCCACTTCCTCTTTGAGTTCTGTCACCAGGTTGAGCAGATCATCCACCTGTTCACACCACAAACAGGTACTGCATCCACTGCCTCCCAGTATCAGTGACAAGCTCAGGCACTCACTGCAGCCAGTGACTTGGACAGCTACATGTTGATGTGTGAGATCCATTTGGGTCACTGTGTTCCTTCTGACAGTGTCACAGAGTCACAGAATATTCTGAGTTGGAAGGGACCCACAAGGACCATCAAGTCCAACTCTTAAGTGAATGGCCTGTATAGGGTTCAAACCTGTGACCTTGGTCTTATTAGCACCATGCTCTAACCAACTGAGCTAATCTCAGCTGGCTTTTGACTGAGTGGAAACCGTAGTTAGTCCTCTTCTAGTTGGGTGGGTGATGATTCATTCCCTAAGTTCTGCACCCTACCTTTTCTAACTGCCTGCATGAACTGATGTGCCATGTCCTACTAAGATGCTACATGCTCCCTGGAACCATTTAAATCTCCTGAGAATGTTCCTGGCAACACCCCCTCCACACCTGATTGGCTCGCAAGAGCTTCCCAGTCCGCATGGGGCTCTGGGCTGTTGATTGGGTGTCCCTGATCATTGTCCAAATGCTTCTTGAACTCTGGCAGGTTTGGTGCTCTGAACACTTCCCTGGGGAACATGTTCCAGTGCCCAAACACCCTCTGGGTGAAGAAATTTTTCCTAATATCTAACCTAAACCTCCCCTGACAGAGCTTCATGCCATTCCCTCAGGTCATGTCACTGGTTGCCAGAGAGAAGAGAATGGTGCCTGCCGCTCCACTTCTTGTGAGGAAACTGTAGACCACAATGAGATCTCCCCTCAGTCTCCTCTTCTCTTGGCTGAACAAACCAAGTGACCACAGTCCCTCCTCATAAGGCTTCCCCTCTAGGCCCTTCACCATCTTTATACCCCTCCTTTGGATGCTTTCTAAAAGCTTTATATCTTTCTTATATTTTGGTGACCAAAATTGCACACAGGACTCGAGGTGAGGCCACATCAGCATAGAGTAGAGCGGGACAATGGTTTTAGATCCCAAAATCCAATTCCTGATTCCTAGTCCCCCTTCCACATCTCAACCCCGTGTGAGATGGGTTTTCCAGACAAAAAACACAAGACTCAATATGGGGGGAAGGGAATTATATTACAGTGACTGTACACATAAATAAATAGTATAATACATTACATACAATCTTAACTCTATCTCTACCATGACATATAATATTTACAATGGGCCAAATCTCTTCTCCCTCCAATAAAAGTCCAGGAGGGAAGAAGAAGAAAAGACCCCTTCCAGTCTCTGAGCAGCAGTTCACTAGGGGCAGTAGGCTCTCTGTATCTTTCATGAAGCAGTTGCAGCTGGATCCTTGCCAATGCACACGAGGGAGTCTCCAAGTCTCTCTCGGCCCCTCGTCTCCAAATGAAGGGTCTTTCCGTGGGCTGCGTTACCCCAGACAAAGGTTGCTCCATCACGGTCATATCAACGAAGTGCAGAAGCCTTCGTGACGGTCTGGTATCTTCAGGGGAGTCAAGCCCCTTTTACAGAGCTTCTGTGCTCTGCCTCAAGATGGTTGCTAGCTTCTCTGAAGCTTAGCAGCAGTGGGGGAGCGAAGGTCACCCCACACACACACACATTCCTTTGACCATCCTGGCTTAGCTCTCAGGAGGCCTGAGCTTCTTGCTCCTCTCTGCAGTGCATATTGCATTTTAGGACTCCTCTCAGGTGGGAGTCTACCACCCCCTCCTCTCTCTCGGAGGGGTCTCTAGGGAGTTTGGGGAGTTCTGGTTATTCAGTTCTTACCCAAACTCTCTCTGTCTCTCTCCATCAGAGATCTCTGTGTCTTTTTCTGTTTAGCTGCAATGCCTGCTCGGTTGCTTGCTTCTTATCTGCTTGGCCTTCTGCCACTGCTCCGGTACGCTGCTGTCTCCGCCGTTGCTCCGTCTGCCCACTCACGGTGGAGAAAACTCCTTCAGCTTCTCAAGTCACAGACCTCAGTCCAGTCTAACACTGTTTCTGAGTTTCTATGACCCCAGCTGGGGCTGGGGGGCTGAGGCCCCCCAGAGGGGCTTTAGCCCCTTCCTCCTCGTGACTTTCACAACATGGCTACTCTTCTTCAACAACAAGTACAACTTCTTCTTTTCCGGTCTAGAGATATGTTTATATTTTGCAGGAGCACTGATTGGGTCAAACCCCAAGGGTCACCACCCCCTGGGGGTTACCATTTTCTTAGTTTCAGGGGGAAAACCTGGTTCAAACCACTACAACCTCCCTCAGCCAGATGGCGATGCTGTGCTTGATGCACCTCAGGACATGGTTGACACCTTTTGGCTGCCAGGGCATACATAACTCATATTCAACTTGCCATCGACCAGGACCCCCAGGTCCCTTTCCACAGTGCTGCTATCTAGCCTCTCATTCCCCAGTCTATAAGTATAGTTTAATAGGGCAAGCAAAATCTGTGTGGGCAAGCAAAATCTGTGTACGCAAGCAAAGCAAAACAAGGAATTCTTTCACCACTTTCCATGGTCAGGCAGGTGTTCAACTATCTCCAGGAAAGCAGGAATGTCATAGGTTTACTTGTTCTAAAAATCCAAGCAGAAATTTTCCTTTCCCCTGTCCCATTGTAAGAGAAGGAGGTTGAACAAGGAGGGGGAAGGGGTAATTAACTATACAAAAGAACTAGCTGGCAGACCTGCATTCCCGGCTAATAGCCCATCTAAAAAACTGCAGGGAGGGGGGAGGAGTTTTTCTCCTCCTCTCCTTACAAATGGGGAACACTTCACTTTGTGCCTTAACGGGGGCAAGGTGTGTTGGAAAAGCTCAGAGGCCGTTTTGCTCTTGACCTGGTCATCTGACTGTTCTCTGGCCTCGATTTGTCTACAGTCTGCTCTGTCGCCAGCCGAATCTGCTCAGATTTCATCGTAGAGTATGTGCTCACTGACGAACAAAGGGGGAGTCCTGTTTACAGCCAGTCACAGACAGCATGAGTTTAGTGGGAAAGAAATCGCCTTTCTTTCCCCTTTCTTCCCCTTCCCCTCCCTGGTGTGGGGGGGAGATCTCCATTTCGGCTTCTCCCGTGATCTGGGGCCCCCACGCGGCGACTGCCAGAGCTGAACAGCACCCCCTGCCGACCAACACCTAGTACTGCAGGCTCTGCTCCTCCAGTGATCCAACAGCACCCCCTGCAGGCCACCACAGAACACTGCAGGCTCAGCACCTCTAGTGATCCAACAGGGCTCCTGCCAACCGTGATTAGAATTCCACTAGAGGACAGAGAAGTATCAGACTGTTTCCTTTTTGAAGGGGACTTTTTGGGTACAGGATTATTGCTTAGTTGTTTTTGTGTTCTGTTACTGTTTTTGCCAATATACATATATCCTTTAATAAAGGGTTGTTATTTCTTCCTTTTTCCATACTTCCTCGATTGGAGTCTCTTAATTTCAGATTTACAGTTGCTGAGAGAGAAGAGTTTGATCTACCTCATAACTCATCCTCCTTAGCAAAACACTCCAGTCTCTTTAAACTGAGACACAGGGCTCCATCATGCATAATGACTTGGGAAGACAAATGCCATCACTTCAAATATCCCCCCTTCCTTCTTCCTCCCCCTGCTTTATATACGGAGCATGATGTCATATGATCAGGAATATCCCTTTGGATAGTTGGGGTCAGCTGTCCCAGCTGTGTGTCCTCTCTACTTCTTGTGCCCCCACCCCAGCATCCTTGCTGTTGGAGTGGAAGGAGAAGCAGAAAAGGCCTTGACTCTGTGTATGCTCTGCTCAGCAATAACAAAAACATCTCTACATTATCAACAGCATTTTCAGCACAAATCCAAAACATAGTCCCTTACTAGCTACTGTGAAGAAAATTAACTCTATCCCAGCCCAAACCAGCACACCCAAGTAAATCTACATGAAAGACCTGTGCTCCTCCAAGCACTGTCAAGTAAAATAGATTCCCTACGCAGGGATACAACTCCTGTCTCTCCCATCATTCTGTCAGTAGCAGTGTGCTCATCCAACAGATATTCATGATGCTAATTAGCCTGCAGCATGATTACCTGAGTCAAACAGATCAGCATATTGTAAATTGATTTCTAGAGGCTGTTAAACCTTCATATTTGAGTTAAACTTTAATTAAAATCTTTATAACTTTTGCCTAAAAACTGGGAGAAAAAGTCTCACCTGACAACGTTAGTATAGATAAGATAGAGAACAGATCTTTCAATGAAGGCCTTCTAGTGCAAGGAGTACAAAGACAAACACCTATGTCCAGGGGTTCTACCATTTTATAGTACTATCCATCCAATCCGAGAACTATCTGCCCCCAGAACCTCCCTGGAATTGCCCCCCTGGCACGCCACTCTGGAATTGAGTCAGAGGTCTCAAGACCCCTTTCTTCCTCATCTTCCTCCTCACAGCACACACTGTCTCTGGAGCTTCTCCAAGGTTCCGGGTCTTCAAGGTTGCTTTGGGTACAAGATATCTTGTTGTTCCAGCCTAGGGAGCCTATGTTCCTAAACAGGATGTTTTTGCCAGAGACCTTCCTTGAAAAAGAACCTAAACAAGCTTAAAGAATTTAGAAAATTCGATATGAAGTGTGAGAATATGGTGGATGTGTCAACTGCGATTCTAAAGTGTGAGAAACTACACAGCTATACTAAAAATCCATATTTACTACATGACTACATTAAAATCTAAAAAAGCTAAAAATCCTAAAAATTCAAAGGCATCATAAGCATGAAACATCCTCTGCACCAGACAAGACACAAAAAACTAATTTCCCTAGTAAAAGTTAAGGATTAAAAAAAGGTGCTAAACAAAAGCAAGGAAAGCAGATGCTGTTTTTATGGTAGCCTGCTCTTAGTTTACAGTTAGGAGACATAAAGAGGAATGCTGCATTATCTCCAGAAGTTGGTCACTTTTGCTGTAAAAGGTAGAAACAGTAACTGCAATTAAACCAATAGCTCAGGACAAAAACAAGTATATTTGAATAGGTAAGTGAAAACCTTAAAATGGCACATTTTAAGAATACTACCCAAATTAATAGAAATACATGAGCAAGCAGTTTAGCAATAAATATGGGAGTCAGCAACTCCTGATTTCCAGCCCCAATATCCTTTGTGGCCTTCAGCAAGCCAAGTTTGGTATCCATCTGAGGCATTTATAAGACTGCCATTTCAGTGCTTTCCACATAAATCATCATGTATGTCCTAGTTACAGGGGCCAGGACCAGTTTATTACTATGTGGGTGTCACAGTCTGATAAGACTGGAATGTTTACTAAAGAGAATGAGTTATGAGATAGACCAAAACTTCTCTCTCTCAGCAATTGTAAATTCAAAATTAAGGGGCTTTAATCGAGGAAGTGTGGAAAAAAACAGAAGAAATAACAACCCTTTATTAAAAGATATATGTATGTTGGCAAAAACAGTAACAGAACACAAAAAAACTAGACAGTAATCCTAGAAAAAAAAAACAACCAAAAAAAAAGTCTGGATGAATACTTCTCTGTCCTTTAGCGCAGTCCTAATCGTGGCCTGCAGGGGGCACTGTTGTATCGCTGGAGGTGTAGGGCCTGCAGTACTCTGTGGCGCTGTTTGGCTCTGGCAGTCACCACGCAGGGAGGGGTGGTCTGGGGGATGGTCTCGGATCGCGGGAGAAGCCAAAAGGAAAAACCAGAGACTCTTCCCCCCAATGGGAGAAAGGTAGAAGGAAAAGCAGTTCACCCCTACGGGACTCACTGTTCCCAGATGACAGTGTTCCAAGGCTCTCCCCTTCTCTCCCAGCAAGCACAGACCTCTCCGATGAAAAACCCAGTAGATCCCGGCTGGAGTCACGAGGCAGTGTGCGAGCCGACCGAGTCCGGTGGTCTGGCCTCACCAGGACGAAAAGCCAGAAAAGAGAGACTTCCAGGCCTTCTCTCCAAATGCCCGCACGCAGATCCCTGTCTCCGTCCCCGAGAGTGAACTTCGTCGTCCGCTCCTCTTCCCTCTCCGAGCAGAGCAAACCCACCCCCTCCCAAAACTCCTCCCCTCTCCCCCCAGCCTCTGAATGGGCCATCAGCGAGGAATGCAGCCTGGCTAGCCAGTTCCTTTGTAAGGCTAATTAACTCCCTTCCCCCTTTCCATTCAAAACTCCGTCTTTCCTACAGTGGGGGGGCAGGGGGAAGAAAAATTCTCCTTAAATTTCTAACCTATAACAGTGGGTATAACCAAAACTGTGTATTCTACACCGTCAATGTAATTTCTGATGGACTGTTAAAAATGGATCATTTGCAGCATCTGCCCAGGGCACACCTAATGACTGAGCTGTGATAACGCCTCTTCAGGGAGGAATTCGCACCTTCACACCCAGCCTGGGGGGTCATCTCTGCTAATGGACCATACTGGATTGGCATAATAGGCCACTGCAACACTGTATTGGGTCTGGCTGAGCTGGAGTTTTTTTTCCCACAGTAGCCCTCACAGTGCTGTGCTTTGCATTGGTAGCTAGAAGGGTGTTGATAACACATTGGTGTTTTGGCTACTGCTGAGCACAGTATCAGCACTGTAACATTCCTTCCTCAGTTGAGGGCAAGATCCTGGGAGGGGACACAAGTAGGCCAGCTGACCCAAACTGACCAAAGAGATATTCCATACCATATTGACGTCAGCTCAGATATAAAAGCTGAGGCAAGGAGCAGGAAGGTGAGCATTCTTTGTCTCCAATGGCTGCCTGCTGAGAAACCGTCACACGTACTGAAGCCCTGCTTCTTGGAAGTGGCTGAACACCGCTGCTCATGGGAAGTAGAGAATTAACCCTGCTATCTTTCACTTCTGCACATGCAAGCTTCACTTTACTGTTTTTGCTTTAAATAAACTGCCTTATCCCAACCCACAAGTTGTTTTTTTCCACCTTATTCTCTTCCCACTGGGAAGGGGAGTGATAGAGCAGCTGGGTGGGCACCTGGTGTCCAGCCAAGGTCAACCCACCACAAACACCTAGACCATCAAAGACTCCAAAAACATCCCATGACTCACAGAGTTAAATCACCCATTGTGAAACTCCCTGCCCTGGGGAGGGACATTCCCACCTGAACCTGAGCATATATAATCTTGGGGTTTTGGGACTTCTGGTGCCACTCATTGGATCGAGAGGAAGACCAGAACTCCAACAGGACTGCAACTGCCACTCTTGACAAGACTGTGATCATTACCTCAACAGAACTGCCACCATCATCTGTACCAATAGGTTTACTTTCCTTTTACTTTGCACCCAGGGGGGCCACGTGGTACTCAGCACAGGGGCCAATGAACACTGTTCTGTTCTTATCCCAGGAGGCTGGGTTATACATCTGTTTTTGTGAGTTAAAACCAGTTTTTCTCCGTATCCTTGCATCTATTGTAATTTATTTTTAGTAAATTGTAACTCTGGTTTATAATGTCTCTAGAGTTGGATTCATTTCTCCCGCTGGTTTACTTTTAAACCAGCACAATGTATTAGCAAAGTCTCTCATGTACTTTCAGGAGTTTTTTGTACATCTTCATTTTGTGTAACAATAGCAGGTCATTTTAATGGGGATTTTGGGGATTTGTATTATTTCAGGTTTTGTAATGAGAAACATTAGTTCCTTGGCAGGTTGTGTGTGTGGGGTTGTTTATTTTTGTTTTGTTTTGTTTATAAACCATTAAAGAAATAAAACTAATCTGTCATTATTTGGAAATTGTGTCACACTCAAGAGATAGCACTGCTCATTGTCAGAT